TGAAAATCAAAAATTTAAAATGAGTGATAAAAGCACATAGTTGCTAGGAGACTCACAGCGATAACGATGGGCTTCCAACGATATTGCTTTAATTCAGAGACGAACGGGGGATATTTACTAAAATTGAATCGTTGATACTTCACATAGCATAATTCCTGAATGAATTCAGCTTGTTCCGTCGTCAAACCCAAATCGTACACTAATATGAGCTGATTGGGCAGGACACTTCGGATTGCTGATATCTGTAATCTCAGAATGCCGATTGATTGATTGATTGATTGATTCCGCAAAAAGCAACATTCAACATCACCTAAGAGAACCATCACAATTGCCAAAAAATCTGTCCGTAAACTGCACAAATGCCGGAAGATTCAAAGTGATACAACTCGAGATCGAATCACAAAAGGATTCATCGCATGATTGCAACGTTCTGCGGTACTTAATGGGATACCCAAAAGTTGGTCAGTTTTACTTTCTTTTTCGATATTAGTCGCTAGTGTTGCTTAATTATATGCCAGCTATTAATGGACTCTAAACCTCCATTTGAAATATATCCCATGATTTTAAAACATTTTTCAAATCATCACTTCATACATACCAGTCGTTTGCCCTCATCAAAATGATTACTGCTAAACGCAGTCACAAACACCGGTTGCGGCATTGCTTCGCGTTGCAAATCCACAAATTGTATACTATTCATATTATCATCTAAAGTAATATACCATATCCTTATCAATGTGAAATCCACATAACTGTCACTGATAAAAGTGCGAAGAATTATGCTCCTATCACAGCTGTGCAGAAATGAGCAGTTTTTGGAAGCATACTGATGTACTTATCGCTCAAAATCCGCTTAGTCTCGATCAATCCTTCTAAATCATTCGTCCACCCACACCTCTCTGACCTTCATCCAAGAGAATTCTCGGTCACTTGATTTCATATCAAGACAGCTATAAGACTATCAAAAAGCAATCTGAATAATCTTAAATATCATCTCAAAAGAAGATGATAAGAAACGATATAATCCCAAACTCCAAAGTAATTGCGCCACACTAACCCAGCAAATTCAAGTCCTTCATAATCGACAAACTGTCACAGTTCATTCTTCTGCCACGCACTAAACCATTCTCTGGCAAATGATAGCATAGATCATAATATTCACCTCTGAATTGACATATGCATTCCCGTTCATTCAAAAAATCTGCGATGATCTGAAGTACCGACAAACTTACTGATATGACAATCTAGGTGACAAGACTGAGGTGATATGATGAGAGACTTGAAAGACAGGCAAATGTATCTTCAAATAACGAATACCACCCTCAATTATCAATTTGTTCGACAACTTTTGTAATTCATACGTTCACTCACCGCAGTCCTTAACCTCATCCACTTGAATCTATGTCCATGCTTCATCTTCGGTTTAAAGTTAGTCTTATAAGATATCGATGAATACCGATAAGCAGCAAACATATCCTTCGAATCGCAATATAGATAAAATGCGATTACCATTATCATTAAAATCACAACCAGCTTTAATAATCGACCGATTCGTACTCTACAGTTAGATAACCCTTTCATTTTACCAATCAACCAATCAAACCAAACCATCACTCAAATCAACTCGTTGAACGATAGCTGAAGAAGGAAATTATATGTTTATCACACTTTACGAAGTTCGACACCTCACAACCGTTTTGAAGGAAATTTGATGATGCAAGTTTGTTGCGTCATTAAGAAACACCGACCCAGGCAGGACTCGAACCTGCAGTCTTCGCCTCCAGAGGGCGACGCCTTATCCATTAGATTTCGGTCCACTGCACAAACAGAACAAAGTTAGTAGAAGATATTGAGTAGAAGATTACTTTGAAATAGATAACAAAAAATAGGTTGTGAACGATAAATCAGCCAACAAGATTATCGCATGGATTAACAGCAATTAAATTATTGGTGAGTGCAAATAATATGCTGCAAAAATTTCGATGGGTTTCGTTAAACCCGTGGTTCTCATAGGGGAAGAAATTACCCATTTTGGAGTAATGGATGGGGTCGGAAAATAAGTATTCCGTGCAGTTGTTATGTTATGACGGAGACCATTGCGATGGTGCTTGCCAAATAACGAAACATATCATCACAATAACTATCATTCGAGATGTCCTCGTTATTATTCTCGTTATTATTGATGTCCTCGTTATCATTGTCGTTATTATTGATGTCCTCGTTATTGTTCTCATTCATTTTTGTTATCACTAACAGTTCTGCTCTCAATTCGGTCATATTCGTTTTAGTTGTTCATCGTTATTTCCGAGATGTTCATCAAAACTAATGTATCACTATCCGTTCATGCTGAATAATATTCCTGAAACCGATATTGGAATGTGAATATGAATAATATGTGGATGGAAGATATTCACGTATGCAAATGCACACAACACGACAGCATCATGAAAACAATCGTAAAAGCGTATTGGAAAGAGCCAAAATTCCCTTTGTGGTGGATATTTTGCTCTTTTTGATCATGACACAAATCCCAGCAAAACTACCTGCTCATACATGATTTTCGCAATTGGGTATTAACAACAAGAATTGATTCAGTTATCATTTGAAGTAATTTGATCAAACAAGAGTTGAGGAGATCTTTTCTCGTGAGCTCTCCCCGTCCTCGAATCACCCATCCCTCTTCGAAATTTCGAGGAGTCTCCCCGAAACTCCCCGAAAAAAAAGAATTCGAATCTACCGCATCCTTGTGAGCGATTTTCGATCTTTGCTCGCATGTTTGCCTTTAAGGCACACTACCATTATGCCTCAGCTAGGGTGTACAGGGGATCCCAGAATTTCAATTCTGATCCCGACCCCGGGATTTAAATTTCCAAAAATCCTGGATCTGTGGATTTAATAAAGCAGGTCAATTTGTATTAATTTTGATAGTGCGTCGATCTTGAAGGAAGCCTTAATTATTCCCAGCTCATTCATATGCAATCATCCTCGTTGTTTGCCACCTATCATCGATGAATAGTCTAGGAAATTGATGCAAGTCAGACGAATGGCATGATCAACAACAGCTTGATGAACTTTTGCGTAGCATTTCACTGAACATTCAACTGATTATTCTGCTCTTCATTAGTTTATGTCACGCTCATCTGAATGCATTTCTATGTAGACTAATAGAGATAATCACATTTTCTAATGGGAACCAAGAGCAACAAAGTTCAACGAAATTTTGAGTTCATTAATCCGTGTGTTGATTCCTTTCCACGATTAAGAATATTTCGAGAGCTGCACAGTGACATGTTATATGTCCCCATAGATGAGTGTAGTAGAAAACTGCAGGAGTAGAGCGTATATTCTCTTTTGTTTTTGTCAAAGAAATTTTGCTATTTTTTTCAAAAACTCTATTTTCTCATGTGATTAAATAAAATACTGCAAATCAAATTGCACTGCGCTTTTGCAGTTCACTTATTTCAGTGCTTTTCCGTCAAAAATTTATGGTTTCAAGGTCCTGATGACTCTAGTTACAAAGTCGCATCTTTAGGGAGTTTCGGGGAGTTGGGGACGGGGACGGGGATAAGATTGAGTTTTCTCCTCGAAACCCCCCGTCCCCGACCATTTTCGAGCGGCGGCCATTTTCGGGGATTTTCCTCGTCCCCGACTCTTTTTCTCTCCCCGCAAAAGACTAGTTTTTAAGGCCCTACTGACTCCAGTTCAAACGTTACATTTTCAAGAAAATTTGGGAATCGGGGACCGAGACGAAATTGAGTATTTTCCCTCAACGAGCCGATCACATTCTCGGGATCTCTGACCACGAAAGCTCTTCTCTGCCTTCCTTCCTTTCCCGCAGCATACTATTCTGATCTACGATCAAAATACAACTTCTAGTGCCATATCGAAAATTTCTTTTGAATCTGCTCAATTATTCACTTCAGTACATTCCAAGCGTTCGTCCCTATATTCAATCCCAAATCGCCGTTCCCCTAAAACAGAGCTTTACAGTATCAAATAACAAGCCTTCGCAGAAATAATAAGGCTACATGCCGAAAGTGAAATGAACATAGCGCAGAGCATTGGTTTGCATAGAATTGACCTTATTAGTGCGCTTGGTACGCTTGGTACTCCGCTTGGTACTCCTTATTAGTGCGCTTGGTACTCCGCTTGGTACTTGGTACTCCGTAGTATTATACGATGAAGGATTGAAATTCCCTCAGCAATAATGAGCCTGTAGGGAAATATGGAAAAATCAACGAAAATATAATGAGCCTTGTAGAGAAATACGGAGAAAGATTTATGATGTTTTATACTGTAAAATAATTAGGTTCAGATTCATTATTTGCATTTTATTCATTATGTCTTTATTTATCTTGAGATTTTCCGTGTTCAATTGATTCAGTCGTAAACCTTTTGAGCCTCTCGAGACTCACAGCCATATCGTTGAAGAAAATCGCAAATTGTAGCTATGATGTTTGCAAACGAGATAATGAACAATGAAAAACTGCATGCATAATGAGTCTTTGCGAAAGATCGATCGTCTTATTTACTAACTCAATAAGAAATTCAGTTGAACGATAACCTGAATTACCTGGATTGGCCAGCCTATCAAACGTTTATAACGTTGCTGACCACAATGCTCGCGTTTCCGTGCACATTGGTTTAGCCTCAATTTACGCCGTCACCCCGCTGGCTAGGCGAGCAGGCCAACCGAACACAACCGAATAAATAATTAGTCGCCGTGAAGACTTTGCATAATTAATCGTAGCCAAATACCAATCCAATAAATAATCATTACTTTAATAAAATAAATATTCCGCTGATCGCTCACTGCGATTGACAAAACAATCACTCGATGTCCAAGTAATAATTGATGCAGTTGAACGATAAGTCAAACACAAATTCGAGTCAGACAAGATTCAGACGTTCTTCCTGAAAAACAGCATTGACATCGGTCCCTTTTGGTATCACGACTTCATTCAGTACCCAATCACGATATCCTATGAATCAGTTCTTGAATGCACCTTTACTTCACCGCTACAGAAAAAGCGATGCGTTTATGAGGTTTTATGCTATGAAACGTTTATGCTTTTATGTTATGTTTTATGGTTTTAAAACATTTACGGTTTTATGCAACATTTGTGAATGCTGTGAAACTTTGAACTTTTACTGCTGTCATTATACTGTATTAAACGATTCATAACTCACAATCAGTTAAAATGAATTTATGACGATGAATGATTTGTCTTTAAAGGGTTTGATTACGTCAATTATTACTGGATATTGTATGTGAATTTCAGCTGAATGTTTGTATATGTACATTTATGTTAACATGAAAGTATAATGCGCTCGAAGAATTAGTTGAATAACGCAATAGCAATTACCTTGCTTGCCATGTTCATAGCAAATTAAGTGTCAAGGATATGGAATGCTTGTTAAAATACAATAATTTCTGATCTGATATTAATGTGGTTATCTATCTCTATGAGTACTGCTTTCATTCTCATCAAAAACGTAATAATAAGAAGAAAAAATGATTGAACAGTCTGAGCGTTACATCATTAGCAATAACAATTATTATGCTGAGAGTCACGGGAACAGTGTGCTGTAACAAGCAGGAAAGCAGTAATGGGAATGTGATATAATTGGATAATAAAGTCGAGATCGAGGTAATAGTAGCAGTCGAATGTGCAATTAAATTAAATCGTATTACCTTAATGAGAATTGAAATGGTAATCGCAGCTACTGCAAGATATCCGTCTCATTCACGTAAACACTTAACGATGCGTCACGCCTCAAAACCATTTCAGTTCATTCCTTGTACCAATCGCATATTCCTTGATGGTCTGTCTGTCGTGTTATCATACCATATCTTATTATATCAGATCATATCGTATCACATCATATCATCTTATTCTGAATATCCGTTAACTTCGCACGGATGTAACAATATGAGAAGATATATTCTAACCTCATCCATTCTACTCAGCTTCAGTTTCAAGCTGATTGCCGTGAAATGATTCATTTTACATCGATCACCACAGAAAAACATGCGTCGGTTTTCCAATTCAGCTTGCAAATAAACTGCCGAAATGAATTTTGCTCGTAAACCAACTTTCTATTGTACCTAGGCAGTTGATCATAAACCTATTTTGATTGATATTCACAAGATACTTTAGAGAATCTTCAAATAATCACACGACTGCATGCGCTATCATCCCATCTCCTAGACTGCATATATTAGCTACACTATGCATGCATGCATGAAAGCATCCGCAGTGATCAGCTAGAGTGGCATGGTCATTTCGACTGTAGGCAGTCGAACGCCACTCGCCTGAATACTAATCAAGCCGATAACGTTACTGATAATCAGAATAATGACACTGTTTCCGATCATGAACATCAGAGAACATATGAAACAAAAACAAATTTATCTAATAGAAACAAATGAATTGTTAACAAAAGCCTATTGCTACTTGTTATTCATATATAAGAATAGATAAATTTGCCTACATTTCCTTCCACTTATGCCCTGGTGTTCATCGTCATCAATCCGCTTTATAAAAGAGGCACTTTCGAATTAGTCATCGATATAATCCATCAATTGACGTAATGAACTTTTCATTCATAATAGTAAAATTACAGAGATATAATAGTGAGAGGATGTATGTTCAATTGTCGGTGTATATTGTTGAAGGTACAGTATTATTTATTGCTGGAGGGATTGTGGTTGCAGCTTTTTTGAAGACTCGTCATTTGTTCAAACAATATCCACTGATTTTAGTACAGGTTTGATCTTAGCATTTTACCAACACTATCATCCAGTAATGATCATAATAAATTAAACAATAACAATTTCAGCAATTAACTACGGCATTGATAGGCGTAGCCATGTTTTCGGCTGGAGTAGGGAGAATCATAATCTTGAAAGGTGAATCCACTGAGCTGAAAAGTGCACGATTTTGTATGCTGATGCCTTGGAATTTGATCTTTATTTGGTACCATTTTCATTATTATTGTTATTATTATTATTATTATTATTATTATTATTATTATTATTATTATTATTATTATTATT